ATATAGCAAACATCCACAGGCTATTGGGATGAAATTAAGAAGGCAGGAATTGCTGGACTTCCTTTTATCTGGTGGTTCTGTCTCGACTATGGTAGATCACACTGCTTTCCATCCCCTAGGGCAGTGTTGTCCAAACTTGGCCACTTTAAGATGAGTGGAATTCAACTCCCAGAATCATGCTGGCTGGGGAATTCTGGGAGTTGAGGTCCACTCATCTTAAAGTGGCCAAGTTTGGACAACACTGCCCTAGGGGATGGAAAGCAGTGTGATCTAACATAGTCGAGACAGAACCACCAGATAAAAGGAAGTCCAGCAATTCCTGCCTTCTTAATTTCATCCCAATAGCCTGTGGATGTTTGCTATATTGTTTTCCAGAGGAATTCTTGGAGAATAAAGATGGCTTCTCTTCTAGTTATTTCCCTTAAAGCAAAGGGTTCTAAAAGGGAATAAAAGATTTGAAAAGTAAAATGAAAGGGGGAAATGGGATCAGGCATGATACTCCCCATAGGGGCCTCCAGGCCCAGAGAACCACCGTGATGCAATGGACTGGTGAGACCCAGATTCTGGTCTCCTTTCTGCTACGGAAACTCACTAGATGAGTTTCAACCCATCTCTCTCAGCCTAGCCTACTTCATAGGGTTGTTGCAGTGGGCAAAAATGGGAGGTGGAAGGGCAGTATATGTTGCCTTGAGCTGGCAGGATAGAAACCTAACAAATAAACAAATAAATTTGCTCCACCGTGCCAGACACTGCCTTTATTCTTTAATTCAATATGATGAGAGAGATTTGGCTAGCATGAGTTTTTTCCCATACTTTAATAACATAAAGCATAAAGTTTCAAAATGTTTAAGTGCTGCAGAGCTCTTAATGGTCAGACTTTATTGTCTAATCCACTTTCTCACTGCAGTGCACTTAGCCACTGGATCAGTGCCAGACTGTGCGTAGCATGTAATATTTTTCCCAACGCCAATACTGCAGAGTACATAAGGGTCGACTGATCAACATCCCAACACTCTTGACCTGCATTTCCGAAAAATATAGATGACGGAGGAGAGACGGGGTGGGGGGAAAGGAGAAGGAGAAGCATGGAAGAATTAACCCCCAAAATTTGGAGGAATTTCATAGACCCTATTCATTTCAATAAACAATATTTTTAAAGGTTGGCATTCCCACACTTCGGACAGCAGAAATTCCGTCTTTCTTAACAAAGGAGAGCTGGACCATGGAGAAGAGAATTTGGAGAAACTGAATGTTTACATAACCAAAACAGGGCCCACTTTCGCAAGGATGCATCACAGATTTTGTACCAATCATACAGTCCAAATCTCAGATACATATTTGGGTGCATATGAATGAAGCGATGAAGGAATAGAGCAGAGAATGGCATGTGAGCTGTGAGGAGGAGGAG